CGCGGATGACAGTCGCGACGGTTCTGCTAAATACCGTTACCGTGAAATATTACCGACCACGACCATCTCGGATCCGCACCGCCAGTCTCGTTGCTTTCTCCTAACAAAGCAGATCCTTGCTACAGAACTCGTTTGATCCTCGAAACGTTTGCTCCACGCTCGTTTATTTTATCGGAACGAGCCGAATAATTATGACATTAATTGATACCGATTGTTCTATTCCAGAGAACGGACCGACCGATGTAATTACTGGCCGACGACGGCTCGATTTTACCATCTAATGGAAAAGTGGTGGAATAGCTGTTTCTTCGAACTCCAGTTACTCAGCGATTTTCTTCTACTGCATTTAAACCACCGGAGAAAGGGAGGTCTCTTTTCGTAAATCTTACCATTCGCAATTTTAGGAGTCTCATTTGGTATTTTCTAAGTTTACAATTTTTAGGACTTTGTTGACTTTGGATTTTGGAGTTTGGAGATTTGGACATTTTTTACATTTGGGAAATTCTAAAAACATGTACAAATTAACCCTTGCGAGAGGTGACTCTCAGTCACCATTCTATTTAATACAATAATTTTAACACTAAAACTACCAAATCGGTCAAATGACCGCTCCACAGGTTCTTATTATAAGATGCACATTTTGTTAAAATACATTCTTTGAAACCAGCATTGATTTTCAACAAGATAAAGAATAAATGTGTGTACTAATTTATGTTTCGTCGTTTGTTTATTTATTTTTTAACTTCATTTTTAATTTCATATTAAGTATTATATGCCGGTAGGTTTAGTGTTAAATAAGCATTTTTTAACTGATTCTGTAATATAAGTCTAAAAATATTAAACGCCCATTAAAGTGTTAATAAATTGCACTTCATAACCTTCGAATCACCCATTCTCTCTATTCCAAAAGGTTCCAACCTCCAATTAAATGAATTCCCCAGCGTCTAATAAATTACCAGCGTGCAGAATTATTAACGCTTAAAATATGAAATCTGTAAACCGATGAGGAGATTAACGCGGGAAATTGCGACACCGTCCATTACAGAAGGCGTGAAAGTAATGAGTCGGTTGAAAGAACGGAATTGAATGGCTTTTCGTAGCGGGACTGATAGGAAGAACGAAACCCTAGGACAATATACAAGAGATAACCAGCGTTACGAGCAGCTCGAATTCGCGAGATCCCAGTGGACTTTCATTGAAAGTTCTCCACACAGATCGGCAGATGCTCGATACCGTTTTCTCGTGTAATCTCTATATGACCCGCTATGTCCCAGAGGATATGCTCGACGTATTAAAAAATTACCCGAGAAATCATTTGGTACCGTCTTTTGAAAACGACTACCCTTTGTCGTCCACGTAACTCCCGTCTCGATAACGGAGCGCGCCTGCGTCATGCATTAAGTAATTATCACGTCATTGTGATTAATTGCTCGCTTTATTAACAGTTCCGCGCGGAGGGATTGCACGCTGCGAGGAAAATGGGAAATTTATCGTTAACATTGATATGCGGATAAATATGCATTTGAGGGATGTTTTCGTCAATCTTTTCAAACTTCGAGAATCTTGGAAATTTTCAAATTTTTCAAGTCTAAAGATTTGGGGATTTGAGGCCTGTAATTTTTGTACTTTTGGAACTTAAGTCCTGAATTACAATTTTTATTTCAATATAATATAACAAATAATTTTTCTTTATATAAATTAAAAATGCAGAATACATTTTCCTATTGTTTCCTATTATTTTATATATGTGTAACAATATAGATATTGTTTCCTTCTAAAAATTAAAATATGTACTTTTTCATATAAAATAAAAATCATGTAACGAATAAACAGCGTATTATATAAAATCATAATATGCATTAAAGCACAATTCCATATTAAAACTGCAATTTTTCAATTTGTTCGAATTTATTAAAATAGAATGTTTTATGAAAAGCGACCGTTTACGAATGATCACAGTAGAGCAATTACTTAATAATTTATGGTACTTTTAATTAGACGGCAGAGTTATTAAACTACAAACAATTTCATATAAATAACCAATTGTCTGGCAAACAGAAGATACGAGTTGTAGATTCCAGTTGAGTGATCTAATTAAACGATCCTTTCCCTGGCCGAATATGAAGTCAAAATGCAACGATATCGCGTGTATTCGTTTGATCGATCTACCGTAAACTGAATATCAACAAAACGTACGTTTTCATTCGTGTCGTCGTTCTAATTACACCTGCGGTTATTTACAACGAACGGTTTCCGACCGAAATTACGTACAAATTAACCCTGAAATTGATAATGGGTTCACCGAAAATAACTGTTTTAGACTGAAAATACGTAAAACGGAAAAAAATCAACGTAACAAACATTTTTGTAGATAAAAATTTTTGTGACAACTTACTGCTTTCAATTTTTATTTTTAAATAAATTTTTATTTAAAAATAAAAATTTAACATTTACTTTTGTCAAATAGAAATTGAAACTTTATATGAAAATTAATTCTGCAAGAAATTAAATTTTAGTGTTAAGAATTGAACTATAAGAATGTTCGGTTCATTGCTTTAGGGGTATTCGTCATATAAATAAATTTGAATTTTACCGCCAATTTTATTGGCAATTTAGTCTAATATGGCTGAAGATAATATAATAATATATTAAATAAAACGTAAGCAGTATCTATTAATCTAAGTGTAGTTACATTTTTAATTGTCTTATGCTTGAATTTTTTTGAAAATGTTAAACATGTATTTAAACATGGCGCAGCTGTGAATTGTTCTAATTTCTACGCGAAGTATTCGGGTATTTCCGGGTGTAGTGCCGAATGTCACCGAAGTCCCTGTTTATATTGCGTCTTACGACTCTCACGTGTTTCTTAAATAAATTCTTTAACATTTTCAAACCTGTGTTTCTCTATAATCTGAAAACCTGTAACTAGACTAAATTTCAAGAAAAACACTATAAACAGTCATGCAATCATGTGTAATCGCAGTTTCGTGTAATCAATGTATCGGTGTATAAAAAAGCAATGCATTTCATTTCACATGTCAAACACAGTTGAAAATCCATTATAATTTGTGAATTAGAGTATTAATAAAAGTTTTAGTAAATTTTGTATTGGAATATATCGGAGAATGAAATAGCCCACAGCTTCTCGAAAATAAAATGATCACGAAAAGAGAAAAATTCGTGCGGCAGTCGATCACTTGAAACAAATTAACCTCAATGGCTGTTATAAATTTCGTCTTGACGGACGATAAAATCGCCTGTACAACCGCGTTCGATTCGGTTAGCGGTCTTTTTTTCTTCTCTTTCTCCCTCTTTTTTTTACCCCCCATTAATAATAGTCACGTTCAGGACAGATCACGTTTACGTGGGTAAAAAATTTCAAATTGAACTGCGGTGCGTCGGTAAAATTTGTGCGAGCTTCACTGTGAAGTGTGCGCCGGTGAATTTATAATTCTCCAACGCATTTACATGCCTTCGACAACGTAAATATAAAACTGCCTTAATAAATCGACAGCCATTAGCATCGAAAGGAAATTAAGCTACGAGTTATCGCAACACGGCGGATCAACTTTATAAGTGTATCTATCACTTTTCGGAGACAAAGGACACTTAATTGTTAAATAAATTGAAACAAGTGAAAGTGACGTGACATTACGTGAAATTGACATTACATTATTAGTAAGAACATTATTAATCCTCAGATAAAATTCTTAATCTAAATTCCAAATGTCTCCACATCCGTTTATTAATTAATTGACGATCGCTGACATTTTGAAAGGCAGCCTTTATTCCGTCAGAAACGAGTCAATAAAGAAGCCATAACACAAAGCGTACGGTAGCGAATAACAATACGCGTCCTTTTTAATTTCATTAAACCAGTAGATAAATACAACCAGTTCATTGGATGGTTCAATTTAATTAAAAGCCGTCTGGTGTATGCAGTTTCCTTCAATTAGAAAAACGTATCCCTTTAAAAAGCGATTCTTTTACAAACGCATCGTTTCAGCTTCGTTACTATTTATCGAACGCTCTGTGCTGGTAATTACACACCTTTTATGACTTATTCGCTTGGCTAATACGTCACGTTTACGCGCGAAATTTTTATTTCACCGATCTCGCAAATAATATTTCGAAACGTTATCCCTCGACGATCCGTGTTATTGCTACTCGATCCGCATTAATTTCCCTGCATCCTTTTTCCACTTTTTTCGCGTCAATTGATTTTACGTCTACGCGTCTGCATTATATTTCCCACGCTTTTTTATCGTAACGTATTGTTTGCTTTAATCCCAGACTGTCAATACTTTTCTTTAATACTGTTCTTTAATAATAACCGTATGCAATAATAAAATAATACGATACTAAAGTAATAAGATTGTTTTAAAAATTTCCTACATGAAAGTAATAATATTTTTAAACTGACAAGCGTGACGTAACCTCAAATTGACGCGTAGGTTTAATAATGAACTAAAGTTATATGAAACGATTTTAATGGGCAAATTAGAGGATACGTAATTTTATAGATTCACATTGAAACATTGAGCTTTCTAGAGATGTTCCATCGCCAAACACAACGACGAGTCAGTTACATAGCCCGGGAGTTCGAAGGTCTGTTTACACGAGTTCGCAAATATAGCCATAGGTATCGGAGTCAACCGAAGCGAAGAATTGATAAATTAGTTATTCCGTCAGTCGCCTGCTGCTGTTTCTACAGGTACGTTTGATCTGAGGTTTCGAATAATCATGCTTATTTATATTGGAAACCCTTCGAACTCCCTAACATCCTACAGGACCCTTTTACACGTTATTCCTCAAAAACATTGTAGCAATTTTAATACTCTTTTGAACACGTCAATATTTTTACCGGTGGATTTCAAATTTTTGAATTCAAGATTATCGATGACGTATTATAGGACATTACGTCATTAAATTACTATATATATTGCTACTAAAGTTAATATTTCTATCAAAACTGTACAAAATTTGAAATATTCACTGACCTCGATTATTTATTTGCAGGATTCGAAGAGTAGCCATAGTTGAAACCGCCATTCATTGATGACTCACTGCGCAATATGAAATTTGAATCGATGACACTAGAATCAGAGATTAATATTACTATTTATATTGCTACTCAAGTTGTCGTTAATATTACTATTAAAACTATGCAAAATTTGAGATATTTACTGACCTTTATTATTTATTTGCAGGATTCGAAGACTAGCCATCGTCGCAACCGCCGTCCGTTGATCCCTCGCTGCGGAATATGAAATTTGAATCGATGAAACTCGAATCGACGCGGCGGTTCGAGAAAAATGGCGGGCAGTCTTCAAAAATGGCGCGCAACATTTGAAAATGCGGAGCGGCGTAAATTATATTCACTTAGTTGGAAAATGTTTAATAGAAGGTGCAACTGGCCCATTTATCACGGGATAACAATTCCGGAGTACATCCTTTGAATGTAACTCTACCCTTGGGTAAACAAGACTAAGGGTTATGACCATTCTCGTTTGTCTTTACGTCCGGAATCTTCGCACGAAATCCCTAGCCAGGACCCAATTAACTCCCGAAGAATTCGATCCTATCCCATGGTAATTCCAAGATAGTGCGACTCTAACGGCAGATTAGAAAAGACAATATTTGTCTCGCTGCTTCTGCGTCTAATCGCGTATTGCCTCGCAGATGTGCCTTCGCTTAATATCGGTTACTATTTGTCCTACCGTGGAATTGAAGTCTGCGATTGTGTACATAACACTGGAATACAGAAATTTACATTTCTCAACTGTTCGTTCCTTTTATTAAGTTCATTAAATTAATTAGCAGATTTCATGGTTCAATGAAGTCTAAATAATTATGTACTTTAAAGAGATATTAATGATAAAAATTATGAAAGCATTTTATATAATGCTTGTATTCCTGTGTGATGTTAAAGACTGGTCTGAATGTATACAGACAAATATGTAACTTCTTAAAGTTTATAATAGAAGATAGCACAATGCAATACAAGATATTGTAGCACAAAAATTATAAGATTACTGTAATGAAATAGCAAGAATTATAATATTAATGCAATACAAAGGTATCATACAGACATTGTCTATTATAATGCAAGGATGATAATGCAAACTTTGTCTATTACAATACAAACCTTGTCTGTTATAATATAACAAGTGTAGTACAAACCTTGTTTGTCGTAATGTAACAGTTATAGTACAGACTTGTCTATTATAATATAACAATTACAGTAAAATCTTGTCTATTACAATATAACAATTATAGTACAAACTTCTCTATTTTAATAAAAAAAGTTACAGCACAAATCCTGCCTATTATATTACAAAAATTTATGTAATCAGAGGTCCAGCTTGAATCTAAAGCTTCTGAAAACAGTAAAAGATAAGAAAAAATGTACTGCCTTTGGTTTTATGACTATGTGTAACATTAAATGTAAGAGAAGTTGAATATTTTTTAGGATAAGACAAGCTACATTAAATGCGACACGTCCAAGGATGCAGTCTGACCGCAGGTCTATCCACAGCGACGGCGACGGTTTGAATTGAAGATTTTTGCGGACGCCGTAACACGTTGGCTCACGCGCTAACGTATTTGCAAGATCCGCTGCGCTGATGGACAGATAATGCGACGTGTGATTGTAGGCCCGCCAATCGCGGCCGATTGTGCCTCTGAAGGCCCGCTAACTATCTCAAACTAGCCCCATTCAAGCCGCCACGACCTCCCTCTATCCGTCTCTATCCACCATCGTGTTTCTCTATCTCGTTCGTTTCAACCCTCGTTTTGCGCCACCACCTCTTCCCTCTCTTCTCTCCTCCTTGCTCTCTCGTTTGCTCCGACTTCGCAACCTTCTCTCACCCTCTCTCGGGCAGCTCCATCGTCGTCGAAACTCGATGTGTATTTTCTTGCAGTACGTTTCTTCGCCGCGTCGTATCCAGCTCTAATTTTCGACCAGCTCTTTCGCCGCACACGTAATCTTCTATTTTATTCGCTTTACCCTTCCTAATGCGATACCTCACTCCATACGGCAGCCTCTTTTCTATCCGCGAACCAATGTTTTGCCTTCCATTTAACGCCCTTTATCTCGCGAGCTCTATTCAACACTCCGTTTTGCTTTCCGAGGCTCTCCGCGATTTCTTTCTTACCGCTATCTGGACTCTAATGTTTCCATCTCCCTTTCGATACTTGTTCAACCTGGTTCTCTTCGTTCTTCATTTTATGAATACGTGCGTCCTGCTTTAGGTGCTTCCCTTGCTAACCCTTACGTTTCACTCCCTTCGCTGCATTTGTCTTTTCGCGATGCAGATACTTTTGGGCAATGTTTTATTTTTTTTTTTTAGTTTCTATCATATTGTTACATTGTAGAAAATGCAACAAATTACTACTTTTACATGATGAAAACTAGTGAAGCTCAACAGATATACTGATTAAATCTGATACATAGAATCCACAAACTATGTGCAACCAGTTACCAGACTAGGCAACGTGTTCAACAGGTTCAGCAGGCAATTCTCAAAAATCGACGTTGTGTTTGTATCACCTTCTCGTGACATCGTCAACGTTATGCTAAGTCTATGATTGCTTCAGGGTCTCAGGTAAAATGCACTCTAATTAAAAAGTCCCTTATATACATTGAGTCCTATGTATAATTGTGAGAATACATTAAAGTGGATCAACATAATCTTAAATCCGCATCCTCTGTTTCTTCATCCATTTTCTACCCCCGTTCCCTTATCCCTCTATTCATTGACACGATCACGCGTGGTTAGATAGGAGCGTCACCGGTATTCGTCCCGATTCGAATTCTCGACCCTATATAACCGACGCACGTTCTACGTGGGAATTTCAAATCTATCAGCGACCCAGACGAATGCAAATCGCGCATGAAGCGCGCTTAATAAAGCGGCGCACGCGGGCCGCAACTCGCAATTTTCTTTCGTACGCTACGTGTCGCACGCTCCTCTTAATGAAACCTTCGCATGCACCGCGCGCAATTCGCGGTTGCGCTTCCATTGAACGCGATACAATCGAACCGCGGATAAAAAAAATGCGTCGGTCTTAGTCGTTAAGCTCCAGAACGTAGGGAGAGACGATTTCAACCCGTGAAAAGAAATCCGCTTTTAAGGACAGCGAATCCGATGCCATGAAAATTTCCGGAGCGCACTCGTCAAAACGCAGCTCAACCTGCTTTTCAAAAACTTCGATTTTTTTTTAAGTGTAAACAGAATTTTCTGAGGTTGCACATTCGAGTCGAGGATTATCTGCGAACGATACACGGTGCAACGGTTTAGAATTAATTTACCAAAGAATTTGTGAGGCCATTTTTTTACAATGCGAGTGTACGTTGTAACTTCTTCCGCAATATTTGTTATAAATATTAACTAAGAACATAAAGTTATCTGAGAATTTCAAGGTTGCTATATGAGTTTGGAATTTAAAATTTCATGAAAGCTACAAGAAAAATATTGTTTAAAAATTGTTATTAGTTCTCTGAGTCTCATAGACTACGGTCTTCACTGATTTTGCGTTAGCTTCCTCATCGAACACATTTCACTATCAACTACAATCTTTAAGTTCAGTTTTAAAACTAATAGATATACAAACAAAGGTAGAAGCAACGTTACAAAATGTTTGTCCATCAACAAAAGATGTTAGATAATAAATACAAGCAACGACGTGTACTTCTGATCAGTTGCAATTTGTCACGAAAATGTGGCTCCTCAAGATGTTCCTAATTGGGTCTTTTAGTCTAGGGCGGAAAGAATGTGACGAATATGGGATTGTAGGATCGGTAAGGCGAACAATATCGGCGACAAGACTGCTTTTGACCGACCGCATTTCGGCCAGGCGAAAATTGAATTTCCAGGAAGCCAAGTGAAGAGGTAAGCGAGGAGAAGCGTACTAGCTATTTGCGTGGCCTTAATAAGGACGTTTGACGGCGTTGGCTTTCCCTTAACAAGCCAGCTAATATCCTGGGGCCTTGACTGTTCGGTGTACTCTGTCTCGTTCTCTGTCGTTCCGCATCCACCGTTCCTTTCTCTCTTCGTTCTTCTATCTTTCTCTGTCGACTCGTTCACCTTCCGCACGACGGACACCGTCGAGAATCACCAAAGCTTGAAAACCGAACAAACTCAGTTAGAGAACTCGGTGTGAGGACCAACCGGACCAGCCGGCTGATAGAAACGCCAGAAACCATCCTTGTCGTCATCTACCTATTCTCTCGTGCCACTTGATGCATTCAGCCTAACCTTGTTTCGTCTTATATGCTCGTTAACCACCTACATTAATTACGCTGAACACAACAGGACGGTGAGTCGTGGACGTTGATGCTCCGTTTTTGTGCTAAATTGCATTTTTTACGGCAGTGAGGAATTAGTGGATACTGTGCTTAAGATCTCAAGTTTTCCAGTTTAAAAATTCACGATTTCTGGAATCTTTCAACCCTCATAGTCTTACAAAAGTTGCAAGTAACAGTTATACTTGATAAAATTTAATAAAAAATATTTATTGCTCTCTATTTGATCTACAAATTGCATAATAAAATACTGAACTGTTCTAATACACTAGTGCATTAAAAATGTCACAATCTTTGTTTATAAATTGAACTACCTGGAATCACTGTCAGTCGGTCCACAACTGAGTGATATAGGACATGAATCGTTGTCTGTCATGGTATATCTACCCTCAAATATTACAGGAGAATAGAAAAGTAAACAATTGTCTATGAGTATCACTGGATATGTACAATCTTGAGAATAAAATTTGAACCGTCGAAACAGCATTTTACCCTAAACAGTGGTTTGTACATAGGCTGCCTACGTTGTTAGACCATTTGGGAATTTTTCACGTCTCTGAAACAAAATCGATAAAATTAGCAATATGAGATATATGCAATTATACTTGCACTTGATATGTATCTACATCGTTAAAATTAATTTTGTATTTTTATAATAAAATACTCACTCGTTTTTCTTTTAAATCAGACAATAACAAGTTTGCTGTTGTCTGTAAAGCGGGTGTTGCAGTTTCTGTGACACCGGTTAGATCTTTCGGTTTCGGTAATAATCTGAAATATACGTGTGTCAGTATTCTTTGTGACTGTTGATGTGTAAAGAATTTCGGTGGACGGTCTTACGAGTGAATTAAAGGAGAAAGAAGTCTTTTATCTATCGAAGCAGGATCTGTGGGTCCAGTCCACCAGCTGATGAAGCTACCCACAACCATTACAATTATCGTGCCTAAACCGGTGAACCAGTGGTAAGATAATCGATAAAGAGGAAACACGTCGTCTTCGCTGAAAGAAAATTTAAATATTCGGTGCTTATATGGACCTTCTAATCTTTTAAGATTAGGTCACCGTAAAAGTTTACTTACTTAGGATGCTCGAACTGTTTCTGGAAACTTTCGGATATGTTTCCTGGACAGTGAGAGATGGGCACCGGAAGTTTCTTAGCGACCAGAAGCCCAGCTCCGATCGACCAATTTGCACCTAAGCTCGCCCATCCGGCAATTACGAAGCCTACAATAGCCCCCATAAACGCACCCTAGTCAAAAACAGAATCTAGAATCAGTAAATGAGTTGAACCACTTGCATGTTCTCTTTCGTTACCTTTGAGTTTGTCCACGGGACAAGTATACCTAACGTAAACACTCCGAAAGAGGTACCTGCAGCAATTGCAGCTAGACTTCCAGTTATCTGTAACGTAGAAAGGGATAAGAATATGTTGAATAGTTTGAATAATAAGATTGATAAAACTTACGACTAAAACTCCTCCTAATTTCTCGACCAAGATCATCAAGCCCATAGCTATCAGACCGAGCAGGACAACCAGTGACTTGACAAAAATGGTGGAACATCGATTGGACAGTTGCATGCCGAATAAACCTTTGACGAAATCTTCGAGAACCACTACGGATGTTGAATTGAATCCCACTGACAGGGTGCTGAAATATGAACAAAGTTATTTAGTTATAAATTTGACACTGATTCAATTGTCACAAAGGGTGTGTTCCTACAGGTAGACTTGATACGATATAAAAATTATCGAATTTAAATTAATGAAGCTTAAATCGCTGAAGAAAAAGAATGAAGTGTTTACCTGAGGGCCGCTCCAAAAATTCCTGCAACAAAGAGCCCTGGCACCCCATGCAACTGGCCCGCTATTTCCATGACATAAGCGGGTAACAATTGATCGTCTGCAGTGATCAAACCAGAAGCTCTGGGGTCACATTTCGGCGGAGACCACCATGCTATGAGAACCAGGCCACACCAGCAGCACAGGGAAATGAACAACATAATACTGATAGTAAATATCGCCAGCGACCTGAAATTATATTGAACTATTGATGCAATGAAATGTTCCTAATTAACCGTCTGTTCAGTCTAATTAAATACCGTGCAGGTATAATTAAGTAAATAAATTTCTTTAGACGAAAGTCAATTTACCATATCATACTCTTGTCAGCATCGATTTCACATGAGACCATATTTTATTCTAAATTATTCACGCAGTAATTGATATCAAATTTATGAAAGATAAAACTTAGTTTGCCCAACGACAAACCTGACGATAAGAAGTTGTACTCACTTACACTTTGGACGTTTTGAGATCTTTCAGTGCCCTGTATCGTTGCACCATGGTTTGATTCACGGCGATATAAGCAGTGCTGTATAGCCACGATCCAATCAACACTGTCCACACCGTGTGTCTCGTGTATGGAGATGGATCGAAGCTATGTGACAAATAATTTCAATGATCAAATACCAAGATTACTTCTCGTTAATAGTACACGTTAAGAGTCTCACTTTAAGAATTCAATTCTGTTGACGTCTTGAGCTCTTTTCCATATTTCTGTAGCACCAATCTGATAGGTGCCTAACACGCTAACTGTTAACACGCCCGCAACCATCACTCCAACCTGAAGAGCGTCTGTCCACACCACTGCTCTGATGCCACCCTAAAATTAGTAGTCTTTTGTTACTTTAATTGTAACTACTGTTTAACATCCAGGCTTTAAAGTTTAACAAGAAGAAACAAGTCAGGGTACGAAGCTTTCAGCATCCTTGAAAAGGAAACTCTGTTAGGATCGTTAGGTCGGCACGAGTTACGATAATAAACAAATTTCCAAAGAGTCATTGGACCGCGATAAATTTTCATTAATTCGCGGGCTACAACAAATTGCTTGGATAATTACAGGCGCGCGCGGGTATTAATCACTTCGACGCTGGCTTTGTGATCCGCTACTACGGCAACAAGCACTCGACGTGCTTCACGCCATTGTTTCCGGCGGGCCATTGTCGAGCTTTCAGTTTCCGTCCATAAACATTTCCAGTAGCCAGGCCCGCGTGAGAGATTCTTCGCGGCATTGTCCACCGAAAATTGTTTCCTACTAGCTACCAGCGTGCTCCTGGCTCGAGGAACTTCAGCTATCCCCTTCGAGAATTCGCTGAACGACCGTCCTTGGAAAATTAGCCGACGTATACCTAACTGCCGCGAGCCAACCAACTTAACCCTCTCTCTACGCTTTGCTTATATTTCACCGCTTCGTACCTCTTGTTGACTTCTTCGGCCTCGACGAATCTGCCTCGTCACCATCTACGCGAATAATTACGCTACACCGATGAACATCGTTTTCTATAGAAAATCCCCATACAATAGAAGAGGACATTGTCGCTTGTGTATAAATCATTCGAGACAATTTTATTGTTTGAATAGGTGATTACTCTTGAACATTAAGGTCGGCCATTTTCTTAAGGGATGTGAGATTGACAGTGTGTTAAGAATTCAGAAGAGTTACAAATCTTGGTAGATTGACAGCAGTGTAATACAAAAATTATTTAAGTCATGATAAGAAAACTTCTACATGATTTAAAACAATATGTAATATCAATTACATTTACAATTATATTACAATTAATTTTAAATAATTTTTCTATTATAGAGATGAATTTTCACATCCCAAATAAATAACATCTGATTATTAAAATAAGCTTAACGCAGTAAATATATAAAATTCAGGATTAAATATTAAAATAGAATTTCGAATGACTTCTTCTGCACAGTATATTGGAATAGGCTATCAAAGATGTTTATCGTAAGCGATTGATCGATTTCACGCATATCGAATAGGACGTTCGAGGCATAAACTTACCAAAACGGTGTAAAATACGCACACGCAGCATACAATGATCCCGATCAAATGCACATCGATGCCACTCACTGTAATTAATCACAGAGATTTTAGTAGTGCCCGGTTAATGTTCCGCTATGAATAATATGGCCATGTATACCTTGATTTAACGCTAACGCCGGAACGTAGACCACGATCGATTGGTAAAGCACCTAAAATTGGTTCATTACGACATTATTAATGAAACATCGAATCGATCATTGCACGCGACTACTCTCAAAGAGAACGTTCAAATTGAATGTTCGTGAAAATAATTACACTCCGGTCATTAATTATTCGAAATCTGTATGAAAAATCAGTAAAGCAAAGACGATTAAGAAACGTTCAACAGCTTTTTTTTCTCCCTTTTTCGCTCCTTTTTTCTCGTTGTCGAAGCGGCGATAAGTCGAGCAGATTAGGTAACGTGAGGTAGCGTGACACGGCTACGTTGCAAGTAATTTTTCTTTGAATTACGGTCGATGATTAATCGCTTTTTCCAAAGTTTAGAACGCGTATCACGTGGCAAGCTTTACGTTGCTGGAAATCTAGATAAACCTTAAGACATGCTCGAAGTTCGTCGACGCTATTTTCTGCTTACCACGTCAATAACGAAGATCAACGATATGAGAGTTCTTACGCCACGATTGAATCTTATTTCCAAGTACTGAAACAAAATTATCATGTGTAACTCGAATTTATGCTATATCGTGACTACTTACCTCGTAAACGGAATTCAATCCTAGGGAAACGAAAACTGGAGCGTACACGGTGGCTACTACCAATCCGGAAAAGAATATGGAGATGATCGTGATCCAGTACTGGGTTCCGAAGTTGTAGATTTCGGCTGGTGTGCCGAGGATCGTTACTCCGGATATAAAACTGAAAAGAAATTTATAATGCAATTACACTTTACGTGCTTTTGATTTCTTACTATTATTAGTCATATAGGGTTTAACAGGGGAAAAATTTAGACATTTGGAGAACTAGAAATAAGGGGTTTGAGGAGGGAAATTTTACAATTTGTATATTTAGAAATCCGACAACTTTAGAAATGTAAAAACAATAGAGTATCCTTCAGTATAAAGCAATACTCCTCCGAGTGAACGTTGAAGACATTGAATAAGAACCATTGTAACATGGAACGCGTTTTAATTCGTGAACAATTAAAAATACCTCGCAACGAGGGAGGCGGAGACTGGAAAGAGGCCCATACTCTTTCCTCCTAGAAGATAATCTTCCGTGCTCGACTTCTGCGCTCTCCTGTAATGCCATAATCCTGCGGCGGCAGATACGGCGAGCATCAGCGCGAACACCAGCCAATCTGCCCAATGAAAGTATCCTCTCTCCGCTGTTTCCAACATTCTAGCCCCGGCAAGCTGGAAGCGAGCGAAAACCTGATTTATAAAGCCAGATTTGCTTGATAACACCGATAATAGAGGAGTAATGGAAGTCAAGTAACACGGATGAAAGCTTAATGGCTCTCGCGATGATACGCATAATGGATCTTCAACGAGGATTTACTTTTCACCGTTGCTATTCAACCCTGGCGCGAGGCTACGGAAGAATTCGTTTTCTGATATTAAATGAGCCCGGTCTATCCCCTGCACATGGAAAAATCCTCAAATTTACTTTGCTGGAACACCGAATTAATATCGCATATTTTTCTCCAGTTCCAAACAGATTATTATACTTTCAAACTTTCTAATCTTACGCTACTTGCATTTTAGTAATAGATAAAGATGTGTTGTACTTTTTTTAAAAATCATTTTAACAATAATAAGGTGAAAACAGTTCTGGTAACTGCATTTATTTTTTTTCTTATAGAACATTTGAAAACTTGAAAATTTTTCTATCTGTCAATTTCTTGTCAAGATCTAAGAATTTGAAAATTTAAGACCTTAGGATTTAGTCTGATTAGTTAAAAACTTAATTTTTTGGCAATTTCGAAATTTAAATCCAGCAAAAATTTACAAATCAGAGAATATGAATCATAGCGGAGTGAGCAATGTTAACAGGAATAAAAACCTACACGGAATGATTAAATTTGAATAATTTGTAGCGAATTCGCGATGCAGCAAGTATTTTTCACCGCGTGTATTGGTACTAGACTGATTACATACATGTTCGTAATTGGTACTTGACACACGACCTTAGCGGGAGCCGCAGCTGTGTTTCAATAAAGCTCGTTAGCTTGATAAGCGTTGCATTTCTGAGTATAACGCCTCGTACACTGTTCCTTTTTAATAGTTTCTCGTGTATTTCAGTAAATTGTGAGATACCAGTTAAACAATCTCCAAACTGCTAATATATTTTTCCATTACATCACTAAGATATAAAATTATTAATATTAACCTTTGTAATTTTAATTTCGAATGTGTCCATCTAAAATATTCAAAGTATTCTAATAATCTTATAACGTGTTAAAAAAGTTCTGAAAATAGTCTGAATTTTGAATATTTAATTATGTATTTATTTGAATTAATTTTCGTAGTCCCATAACAGACGTTTGAATTTGGCGCGGTTTCCCTTGAGAGAGCATCCGTGACGTAGAGGACGCTAGCGTGCAGAAATCGATGAGAAAGCAGAGTCCTGATTATACACCGGGTAATACGAACGGTCACGGGTCAGTAAACTATTTCTTTGAAGCAAAATGAAGTGAAAGAATCAAAAGGATTTAATGAAAGGCTGTTTTAAGAATGCGGAAAACGATTACCCACACGAGAAGTTCACATAAACACGATACGTCAGCGCCGTAAGTTTTTTGTGGCTTTTTTACCTCGAAAACGACTCTAATTGCTTTTTAATGTTTCTTTGTTCTACGACAGTAACACGATTTCTCTCTTCGCCACTTTAACTGTTTCTGAAAACAAAATACCGAATTAAAAAGAAATTTGCTATAATATATTATTCTTAGCTATTGTTTCTTGCATACAATGCAGATTCAATAGCTGTCAAACTTATTTACTTTAAAGGTAATTGAATTACCGACCGGAAGTAACAGTTGTCGAACGAAACATCGATTGCTGATAAATAGAACTGTTCGGTTTCGTAAAGAATTCTCTATTACTGATAAATAAATGAATACTTTTTATTCTTAATATTTCAAATTTGAAAGTTCAGAAATTTTTCCATTACGATTTGAAAAATTTTTATTTTCGAAATAACTACCCATGAGTGCCCGCCATTTGCACATCACTGCTCTATATTTAGAAACGATGTACTGACCGTTTCTCATACCGCTGTTCATCTAAATCTCTGTTCTTCGTGCACGTTCACCAGGTGAAAATCACCGTCACACTTCTTCGATTGCTGGGATAATCGATTTTGATTCCGACGCGATCAACTAGACTCTGAACAACGGTCGATAAGGATCTCAGCAAACTTTAAACAGGTATCTTCGTTCTATTATTAAGTAGATTTCTTTCCTTTTATTACTGCTTCTACGACGACTCTTATTTTCTCCCTCCCAACTAGCATCTATAAATTCTTTTCTCAATGCAATTTACTGCTCTAGTCCAATCGATTTTACTTCACGCCTTGTTCTCCAGAAAATGTGCTACTTTCTTTCATGCTATGGTGTTTTTATGTGTGCGTGTATTTGTTTATGTATTGACCATTTTCTCCTCGAATTATCGATATTAGAAACAAATTATTTCGATGTATTAATAATGTACCTAAATATAATTAGAAACCAAGTACGATTAGTTTTATAATAATCATCATAAATTTAAATTAACGAACATAAAAATTCCGTGTGACAACAAAAAATATTTGAGGCAACATATAGATATGCACTTAATATTTTAAGCGAGAGAAATCAAAATGTACACCAGTAATATTTAAACATAAGAATATAATTGAAATAATTACATTAAACAAGATGCGATGCACAACACAAACAGCTTTGCGGCGAGATTTACAAAATACAAGCCAATTTATTTTTTAACTTTTCAAACTAGCATTTATGATCACATATAACAGTTTAATAAAAACAGTTCATTAAAATTGTCGTTGGTCCTTTATGCGCGCACAGTTCGCATCGCGAGAACAAAATATTGAAGATGTCGGTGCACGAGTTCGCATCACGAAATAAAAAACATCGATCAAGCAATCGAACGTGTTCCTTCGACGCGAAAGATGACACCGCGACTAGCGATTGTGAAAATACGTCGAAGAATGCGTGCGAAATACATCGAAACGCACGTTCCAATCGGTGAATCTAAATTTTTTGCACGATCGGAATATTTTTAAAAAGAACGAAAGAACACGGGCGAATAAATATAGCCGAAGGAAGAGAACGTCACGATCGAGTGTCGGTCGTGACCAACGACTAACTGTCGAGAGTCGAGACAGAAGCAACCGGTTTACTCGATCTGGGTCTAATTCATCCAACACAAATCCAACAACAAAGAAAATTCAAAATTATACTCGTTCGAAGGACCCGCCGTTTCCGTCGAAGGAATATTTTTATGTTTAAACAATCGTCACGAACACTGTGCACGCTTTGGTGTTCTTTTAACCGTTAACGAAGTGATGTTAGGTAAGCAACCAATTGGCACGTATAAACTACTTTAATCCCGATTAAAAACAATAACCTTATAAACGTCTTATTCGTAACCGATCAGTATTTCCTTATCAGATTAAATACGCATGGTGTTTATGTAGAGTAATACGCTTAACCGATTTCAATGATCTTGATGTGTGTTACAAAGTCCTGAATAATTCAATGCCAATCCTGAATAATTTTATAGTCACATACGCGTAATTGGTGGCGTCATTAGTATAATAACCTGCACATAAAATTTGTTGGCAATATAACACGTGTAAACACGGTTGTTCGGACATTTTATCAAGGTCATTAAAATAAACAAAGTTCTGAATAATGCATATATGGTGATTCTGTTTTGTACGAAAAAACACGATCCATGCATATTCACACTTGATTGATTAACGTATTTTTATGATATATATTTTTGTATAGTAAGGGAATGTGTTAATAAAACGTCGAATGTAATATTTACAACAAATTATTTTATCATAATGATTATAGATAATTACAAAGACTCGTAAGACAACAATATATAATCAGCTTTCAGAATTTTGATCGAAAAAAATAATGCGGTAAAAATTTGTATTATCGGATACAATATTATTATACTTTGATCGTTATTGTTCACAACGTAAGTTTAATTTGTAAATGACCGCAATATTAATATATACCTATCGCATGTACATTGTGTTATTCACCGTTCAAATAGGAACGAAAATGTATTATTGTAATCATAGTAACAATTTACGGAGGAATACATTTCAAACGACGTGTATTTATTCCAGTTACATGTTCTTTGCTGAAATGTAATTTCATTGGAATGTTAATGTAAAGACTTTAAAATAGTTTATATTCTTAAGAAAAACGTATAATCATCTCGGTTTCGTGAAACGAAAGTAAATTATACATTACATGCCATAAATTTGTAATTTTAGAAATTTAATTACAAAGTGTGCAACTTTCATAATTATGCATTCTTATAACAACATGACAGTGAAGCACGGTAAAAATTTGGTGTTATTAAAAGTGTAAATTTTATTCGTAATTATGATCACATCAGTGTGATAACCGTATGAAAATTCACAAATGCCACAATTACTTCTGCTGTAACTGTGACAATAATGTATTTATTTTATCATAGTTAAAAATTGATCTAACTAAGTATACAATAAAAAACCAGATTGGCAGAATCTTTTGTTTTTCATTAATTATTAATCTTGATTTGATTTTACTATACATATGCTTTTTACTTGTTACTATTATATTATTCACTAGTAGAAACGAAAATAAAAAATTTAAGTATAACTAAATTTATATTTCTGTGATTAAACGTGCACAAACATGTGCATTTGCTGAGATTTGTGTGACCATTGGCTGAAACGTAATATCAAACACATCAAATGTAATGCTTACTAGCTAACAGAGTTTATATTAATGAAAAATAATTTTTAAATGTAGTGAACAATTCTGTGTTCAACCTACTAGTATGAATTTGAAAGTTGTACTAGTAATAATGTCTTCCTGGAATATAATATTTCAATTCAATGTTTTCATACTCTTACATTACAAGAGCTCATTGTATCAGATTTTCAAGGTACGTTTTTTACTTACACTGGTTTTAAACAATGATACATAATAATTATAGTATTATGTAATTGTTACTTATATATCATCTGTACATTCTCACAGTGTATGTTCTTATTATTTCACTTTATACTTTAATACTGTAGGAAAAGGGCACGGTTCTGAGTGGGACAAATTGTGGAAAAACGGCAAACGTGTCAAAATCCTGTCACAATACGTGTCAAAGCAATAATTGTTTTCAAGGAAATAGTGAGAAAAGAAAAAGGGGGTATTCAGCCGTTGGCATGAAAACTGAATCTCTTGCGATTTGTTGTTAAGACTGAATCTCCGGTAGTATTGTATTCGTGTATATTTCATCTTCTTTTACTTATATTCCTAAATCTTAGATTGTAATTCTAATTTGCTATCTTAATAGTCATAAATAAATCCATATTCAGTTGCCATTCGGACTTTGCATTTAGTAACCCTACAATACTTACACTGATTAATATACACATACTATGTACTCGTATGTATACATGTATATATCCAATTTTATCTTCAATTTCTTCGTTCCACAAAGAATTATTTACAACTTTTGGGTTGGATAACAAATGTACCATTAATGGAAACAAATAATGAAATGAATGTCTTTAAGTATCCCCCCGATGATACATTGGTCAGTCTTTTAAAAACCATTATATTTCATACAAGTATTATAATCTATTCTTTGTGATACGAGAAAACAAACGTATATGTTGAATGTTTCATACATTTCTAAATTCGAAGATGGAATATGGGAACAGCATAATAATCACAGTTTTTGATGTCTTCCTTCTCCAAAAAGCCATAAGCAGACTCTGTCAACTGCAAACGCTAGGAAAAAGTCTGCTACTAGTATTTGAACTAAAAGTTGACGGAACTGCAAAAAGAAAATGTATGTTATATGAAAAGTTTTCGGGTGATGAAAGGTCTTGATAGTGTTTATATCTGCTCACATCGCTTGGGAAATCCACGATTTCAAATTGTTTTGCTAGTTCAGGTAAAACACCACAAGCTAATCCCAATATAACAGCAGTACTGCCAATAAGGCTGTATAATAAAGACTTATTTTGTAGTAAACTTTCCATATAAGGGTGACCCTATAAAATTTCAACAAATTAAAACAGATATAACTTTAGTTAATACGACCATAAAGTTAAATAGATATATTTACCCGATAATTAATTGCAAATGTGAAAATCTGGAGTGCCATAGCAATAATGTAAACTGTACTGTTTAACAAGTTTGCCTCGAATGGTTTACCTTCTTCACCAAAATCCGAATTTGACGTCATGTTCATGTTGGATGAATTACTTGGTGTTGACAAATCGTTCCTTAGCAAATCGAATAAAAATTAGTTTATAAAAATTTTAACAACACGTTGATACGGAAATTTGGATATTTAGAAATACCATAGCATTACCATGAAATTTTGTTACTTACTCTGCTGATAATACAGTAGCCTCTTTTACTAAATATACGAGAGAGAAAAAGTGCACGGCAAACTGAAGTAGTACAGTAGCTATGGTATACAAATTGAATATATTTGGAAGTGGTCTCTGTTTAGACAATGTTTTCAAAGGTTTCGATCTTGATATAAACAAAAAGCAAGTTGCCAAAAGAACACCTTGCAATGTCGCTTGAGCATCACTGAATTTGATTCCGTCTGAATAGAGAACAGACTGACTGTATGCGAGTGCTAAAGCGTTAAGTGCCAAAATTTTAAACATCTGTAACGTTGTGACTAAAGTGCAACGTCCTTGCTTGATAACATGACATACTGCAACAAAGCATAGATTAGAATGTTAAGCTAACAAAATTTTAACTTTTATGCCATGAAACTTACTGCACTGAATTGATGACATTTTACTGGTAAAAGGCGCAGCAATTGAGGCATCTCCTAGTTTAACTATGACTGACTCTCCTTCAAGTTCTTTCAATACTTTCTGTAGCCTTATTCTGGTGTTAGCGGATCCTCTTGTATTCATTCTTGAACCATTAACCATCGAATTTAAGAGCATGTTTTCATTTTTTGTATTATCTTGTTTGTCCGAAGTCGCTCTTTCAGGTGGACTAGAAAGGATTGCAACACCTAAAGAAATTCAATACGTGTGTGTGATTCGTTTCATGTAATACGATATTTATGAATTTCCTTGATCAACTAACCCACTTGAGCATGCTTTAAAGCACCAACATCATTAGTACCATCTCCACACATCAAAGTTGTATATCCTAAATTTTGTAATGAAACAATTATAAATTCTTTTTGTTTTGGTTCACATCTTGCAAAAATTACGATGTGCGGTAATAATTTGCGAAGAAGCTTGTGTTCATTTTCTTTCAAATATGTTAAACCCTAAAAGATGTATGTTACAAAAATAATAGTAATTAAAAAAATAATTATCACCAAGATTATATTGCACAATATTGCTTTACCTCTCCTGTTAAACAAAGAGCATATTTTCGCCAAATTTCATTACCCCGAGAAGTAACATCTGTATCGCTTAAAGGCAAGTGTATCTTCTTATCTACACTTTCCCACGCCCATTCTTGATCGTAAGAAGTTAATATAAGCGTAACTGGTTTCTTTGTAAAATGTAATTCACGACTGACATGACAGGCGGTTAGGGGATTGTCACCGGTGATCATAACAACCTGTAAGAATAATATGCGATTATTATAATTCAAACACATGGTTAGAAATAAATCTAATTTTCTTAATAATTACTGAGTGCGAAGCGTTCACGATTTCCTTGATAACCGCCCTAGAATCAGGTTTAAGCGGACAACTTATTATTACAAATCCAGCAAAAGTCAGATTTCTTTCTAAACGCTCCCGGGTTAATTCTCTTAGGTCTTGAGATGATAGAGGTCCAGAAAGTTTTCGATATCCTAAAGCTAGTACTCTGGCTCCGCGTCGAGAAAGCGATAGGTAAGTAGAATCGTAATTCTCTGGTATATTTGATAACTGGAAACAGAGAATAAAGATATCAACATATTACGCGACAATTAAAAAAATATATTTATAATTTGTCACTTACCATATCTTTAAGGATTTCAGGAGCACCTTTTACAGTAGTCATATAATTGATTTCCGATGAACCTGGCATCGTGTAACTAGCTACAACTGACATTCGTTTTAACGCAGAGGAAAAATGGTGACGCTGTACTATTTTTAAAACAGGGGATTGTCCTTTTCTAGGTATCATAGAGTCATCTGGTATAAAATTAAATTAGATTACCACTTCATAAATTACAACTTTTTAGTAAAAGGTGGTCATACTTTTTGTAAGGCTCCAATTAACAGCTTTCAACGTGGCCTTTTCAAGAGGATCGCCAACAATTTCATCGTCTACTTGTACGAGAGAATGGCACGTTGCAAGTACTTGAATACTTTCTAAAGGAGCATCAGAAAGTTGAACAACATCTGCTTTTCCTCTTGAACAGTAACAAGTAGTTTAATATACATACATTTAGGTTTTGTATGCGACTAGAAATAAGCATATGATACTCACTCAATTCCAGCTAAACCCTCGACAATCAAGTTATCGCTGGTTAAAGTACCAGTTTTATCGAAGCAACAGATTTCAACCTTCCCAGCAAATGGTATTCGGAAAGGTTCGGTACAAAATACACCTATAACAAAGACATATGTATTATTATTCACATTACCGACGAGTCTGTAAATGATTAAAGCTTTAATGTATTATAAGTACCTAGTTTTGATAGAGCTAACAAGGATGTATTAACAGCCAATGATAACTCAATTGGCAATTCTGGGGGAATAACTGATGTTAGAATAAGTGTACATTCTAAGAATAATTTATATCTATTTCTAGTAGGATCTGCACTTCCTATAATCAAATTAATAATTAATTAATAATTTACATATGCAATTTCAAATGTTAATATTAATAGATAGTATACCTTTAATCCATACATATGTTGCTGCTGCAATTGCAAATACTAGTAAAAATAGGATAAAGCCAAATGTTTCCAAATTGTTAGCTGTAACACGTTTAACTCCAAAGAGTATTGTCCTCAAGAGTTTACCTTGGGATGTTGAAAATCCAGTACGTAAAACATAGGCTACACAGCCATTGTCAGTAGCTAAAATTTTAGATGAGGACAAATATAGATATTTATGGTAATGCTAACAACAAATTATTACGTAATGATCAGTTAAGTACCCTTGAGGCCAGGTACATTTTTACTAGGCGGACTATGTTGCACAACTTTTGTGCCCCCAAAAAGTACATGCAGTTTATCATTTCCTTCTATATCCAGTTCTCTGCTTCCATCAATATCTTCTATAGGCTCTTTCATTTGTGGAACTGATTCTCCTATTTGTTTACAATAAAATTATGTAAGGGCAATAGAATCAGATATTAAATACTTTTATTTTTAATTTACCTGTTAGCATACTCTCATCAACCACACATGGTCCTCTTAAAAGTAACATATCACATGGCACCAAATTATCATTTTGAGATCTTGTTATCGAGACTATGTCACCAGGAAGTAACTGATCAGTAAACATAGAACGCCATCGCCTATTCCTGTAGACCTTTGATCAAAACAATTTTATTAGAAACATTTCTAGTAAACAGTATTTATCTGTAATGTTTACTAACCATTATCATGTATGGCTTATTTCCCATTTTTCTGATCTCAGCCATATTTCGAAGTTGCTGCTGTACCAATGTACATTCAAACATGATAAGCATAATAAGAGTAAAGATACTATAATACCAATACTCGTCTAAACACCATAATGCTACACAAAACACTTGGAAAACAAAGAACGGCGCAATTGCCCTTTCTTTGAATAATTCCTTAAATTCTGGTACAACCATATCCAACCTAAAGTAATACAACCATGTATAGTGAAAGTGAATAAAACTTGCAAGAATAGTTGTTATTTTTATGTTATGATAAAACAATGTGCATACTTATTCTTGCCATATTTTTCCTCTGCTATCGTAATATCTTTCTCATCCAAGTATCCTTTCCATTCGCAATAATGCTTAACAGAGTAGTTAATTGGATACTGAAGGCCTTCGAAATATTTTTTATGTGGATTCCAAATATACTTTGTTTTTTGAAATATAAACCATGGCTCTTGTTCGTTGGAATGGTGTAACTTAACAAGTTCTGAACTTCCATTGTTAGGTGTAGGAATTACTTTCGCTATTTTTGCTTTATAAGGACTTTTTTCCTAAAATGATATTTAATAGTAATGCAACATATTGTGGTAGAACCAAAATTTGTTTCATGTTTTAGAGAGGAAATTTTAAAAACAATGTAATAACAGGAAGAAACCATTGATTAATTTGTTATTTCGTTAATTTCTAATTAGTACTGTTCTTGAATTCATCGATTCAATTTAAACCCTCCCGCCAATCAATCATGCGACTCAAACAAGCAGAAGGCCGGTTCGAATGGCTGCCACGTTTACCGAGCATATTGAACAAAATAACACACATGTGCAAATTATTTAATCAGTGTAATTACAATTGCGATAAACGATCGTCAACTCACCGAGCTACAATTGAGAAAAGTGTGTATATGCACCGACCATTGGCAACACAAACATATAAAAATTTGCAACACACCAATAGCCGCGATACCCACTAGGCCCGCTTCATAGTACTCGTCAATTCCGTAAATAAAAATCCAACTGTAAATCCACGCAGTGTGTAATATCACAGAAGGTAAAATGTATCCCGTGAACAACAGTTTCCGAGGATTGTGAAGGGTGACAGTCTGTACCAGTTCGTCTACCCGCGACGAAGCAGTAGTCGCCATGGCTATGATTACGCTATACCGTAACAGGGGCGTATGGAGCTTAATATTAAATGGTTCCGGTTTCTCTCACATGAAATTTGATCACACAAACACCAAGCACGCACTACGAAATAGAAACGTAACAATTCACGCACGTGAAAGGTGCTTGAAATATGTTTACGTCCTTCGCACCTTTCCCTCGTGCTGTATATGTATACTAATTTACAGTAATGAGGTAAAAATGAATTTTCTGTAGAACCCTGTCACGCCATCTTATAACCGTACCTAAAACTAACAGTTTCTTATCATGATAAAGATAAATTATGATGTAACGGTAAATGGCTGTACTACTTGGAGTTTGTTTGGTCAACTTTTACATTTGCAAACTTTCAAATTTAGAATTTTAAATATGAGGATTTGAGACTTTGAAAATTTGGTAATGTGGTAAATGGAGAACTTGGGTATTTAGAGATTGATTCTTCGCAATATAGATAGATGGCGCAATCATATACTTTAAGCTTTAGTGCACCGCCTTATTGAAATTGTTGATGTGTTAGAGCAGTTGACTATAAAAGTGGGGCAGATCCATTTTCTTCATGACAATAAATTGACTGTGAATTAAAATTCCCAATAAAAGATAAAATGATGTGTAATAAAAGTGCTTTTTAAAATACTTAAATTGCTCTACTTTAACGATAAATAACTTATCAACTTATTAAAAGTATTTTTACAAGTTAATAATGATAAAGGGTTACAAAATATAGGTACATATTTAAATTATGAAAGCGTGACTAAAAACATTTTTATTCAAAATAGCTTGTTACAAGTTAACAACAATAATAAAATATACATATTGTTCTGCAATAAGCAATTCTTGAAGATGTACAAGTACTGATTACAAATTTCAAAAATTGTTTCACTCTATCAACCCCAATATTTAAGAAATGTAATCTTGAGGAATAAATTAGATTTAAAAAATTGTGTTGACTTCTTCAAGACAAAACTTGTATAAAACAATGATAAAGAGGAACGGTTTCCGGATAATCAATGAAAGAGTTTTTTACAGTGCACTCGATATGAAAAATATTGTTACTGTTGATTGGATAATAATTTCTAGGACTACAATATTATGTTAAAAATCAAATTATCATCGGAATCATTATGATTCAGTTGGATTGAAGTTTCTGCTAGTACAGTTTCATTGATCTCATTCTGGTAATTCAACACGCGATCTTGTCAACGTGTAAGGTCGGGTCGAATAGCCGCGCACCACGCATCACGCACCACGGACACCAGTGAAAGTAATATATTCCTATATTCATTGGCGTAACTAGGGACACATTTTCAAATTTTCAAGCTTGCAAATTTCAAACTTTTACAACTTCAATTTTTAAGCTTCTAAATTCTTAACTTTTCAAGTTCCAAATTTTGAAACTTATTTCAAATTTACTTTCACAGTTCCGCATCTTAAATTCTCACATTCCGATATTTCCACTTTCACATATTCACACCTTTACAAATTTCTACACTTCCACCTTCACACATTGACAAATTTCTACGGTCTAAAATTTTAACATTTCGACATTCTCTGATTTAAAAAATTTTAAACTTCCAGGTTTTCAGCTTTGTAATTTATAAATTTTGAAAAACCACTTATGTCTGGTCTGTGGAGTAAACACTGTTAAAAAAGTAAGAAACTCGAATCGTGTACAAAAGTCTTTAGTCTAAATAAGTGCGCCACCTGTTCAAGAAGAGGGGATATTCAAAATTTGCCTAGGCACAGATCTAGATCGTACGCCAATGGCAGTACCCCACCAAACGATGTTAGATCGGAACTCGTGCACGCGTGCACTAGGAAGGGGTACGCTCGAACGTCGGTATCGGTACACCGAATTATCCACGTTGCTAGGTAAGATCGTCGCGCGTAAAATCGCACCGGACAAACCCTGACGTAGTCTGGACCGAACCGTGCGGAATACATATATACCAGCGACAGTGTCGGTGACTAAAGTATCGACGGTCGCACTCGTTCTTTTCACTTCGTCCGTGTCGTTGCACAGTGGTGTTCGTAATCCTTTGAACGTGAACTGGACCGCGATCGTTTTCAAACATCGAATCTTTTTGTCTGTGAAAAAGTCGGAACATAGATCGGACATTCGCGTGCGTTTCCGTGAAACGCCGTTTAATTCGGTTAAGCGCGGTCCATTGTTGGAAGATCGGTCTCTGTGAGAGATAAACTTATGCTGTTTTCACGGCCAACGATACCCGTCAACGCGTACATCACGAATGACTAGATGATTGCACGCCAGTGTTTCCGCGATCCGTCCAGTTTGCGAAACGCATCTTCCCGCGCGGGTAACCGGCACGTGCTCTCACGGGCGGATAACCGTTTATCGCGTTACGGTAATCTTACTTCCGCAATTAACAATTATGTAATTTAGTTGCGTTTCCGTGGAGACATCTATCGTTGCGAAAACTGTGCCTGTCGCGTTCTGCCTGCAACGGATAACAATAAATTAGTGGTGATACGTTTATTTGATTGTGGTGAAGTGTTTTCGTAAGAACTATGCTTGGACTAAAAATGCGGCCATTTTTAAGTGTGTTGATACTCGTAAGTAAAATGCAAGTTGTTATTAAAAATATGCACGTTGTAATAACGGATTATTAGAGAATATTACGGAAAATATTTAACAGTTTCCCTAATGAATTTTTAATTGCTGAAATGACTGCTAATGACATCGGTATAATGTAAGTGGAAAGTTGATCGGTTTTAGGGTTAGATATGACAGAATAAGTGGACGCGGTATCGTTGTTTGGAGAACGAAACTTTTACTAGAAGTAATATGAATGTAACGTGATTAGGAACGATAAAAGTAACGAGTAACTTTCTAGTCTGACGGTGAATCAAATGTTCAGAAACCGAGAGTTGCCCCAAATCTTGTTCGCTCATTTCGACACGGTAATCACTGTACGTGAAATGTAATCGCAAAGATTGATATCAGGGAAATCTGGGAAATTTATGCTGTGATATATCCGACGTTATTCGATAAAAAGTAGGGATAAGCGAGGTGATCCTTAACGAAAGTTTCTTGAAAATGTTTTCAATTCAGCAGGCGTTAGTGTACGTGTTTCTAACGATCTGTTCGTCAGTGAAAGTATATAGTCATTTTTAGAAAACTATATTTTGAATGATTTCGCGTAACAGCGTTGTACACGTGCATACGGTGTTATAAGTAATTGTTGTTTAATTGCATAATTATACGTTTGATGAATAATAGCAGTTTCTTGAACTGTGAGAAGATAGTGATAATAACTCATTCATGGTTTGTACTTTGATATATTTATTAGATAATAGTATTTAATATATTTGTTAGATATATTTATTAGATAATTGTTTTTATCGTTACAATTTTGTGATATGGTTCAGTGCGATTCAATTCTACGCAATTTTATACCATGAGATTAAATTGCATGCAATTCAATTCCACGAGATTTAATTCCATGCAATTCAATTCCACGAGATTCAATTCCATGCAATTCAATTCCACCAGCTTCTATTTGACGAGATTCAATTCCGTGCAATTCAATTCCACGCAATTCAAGTCGTCGGGATTCAATTCCATGCAGTTCAATTCCACGAGATTCAATTCCATGCAATTCAATTCCATGCAGTTCAATTTCACGAGATTCAATTCCATGCAGTTCAATTCCACGAGATTCAATTCCATGCAGTTCAATTCCACGAGATTCAATTCCATGCAATTCAATTCCATGCAGTTCAATTCCACGAGATTCAATTCCATGCAGTTCAATTCCACAAAATTCAATTCCACGAGATTCAATTCCATGCAGTTCAATTCCTCGAGATTCAATTCCATACAATTCAATTCCACGAGATTCAATTCCACAATATTCAATTCCATTCATTTCAATTCCACCAGATTCAATTCCATGAAAATCCATTCCATTCATTTCAATTCCACAAGATTCAATTCCATTCATTTCAATTCCACAACATTCAATTCCATGCAATTTAATCCATGCATTTCAATTCCACAAGATTCAATTCCATTCATTTCAATTCCACCAGATTCAATTCCACAATATTCAATTCCATGAGATTCAACTCCATGCAATTCAATTCCTCGTAACTTCACTCTATCTCTCTATCACTGTCAAGTAGTTCAATTCCACGCAATTCTGTTCGATATAATTTCAATTCCACTTCAATTCCCTTCGTGCAGTTTACACCAACAGATTTCAACTCCAAATATTTCAATTCAACGTGCTATAATTCCTCACAATTTGATTCCACACGATTCAATTCCATGTTAAATGCTTAATGTCTCAATGCACATTACCGCGAGTGGACACTAAACCCGAACTTTATTATCACATTTAATTCGGAGAAGTAGGTTTTCACTTTCAATAAAAGTGAAAATGAATTTCGCCATACAACTTGGTCAACTTTTTGCAAAAAAAAAAAGGAACGAAAGAATGACGGTGTGGGCGTATATGGCGCTTGACATAATCCTTTGCGTTCATAGAGTGCCGCATGTTAATAAAACTGTTTCAGAGAAGGATGATTCATTGGGGTTCCGCAATAACACGCCAGAAGATTTCTCCTAATAATTTTTATCGAACTGTTGTAGAAATACCGTTCCAGTTCCGTTAATCACTCGCAATCTTCTTTTATCAATCTATGTGCAAACATAATCTCGTAAAAAGTATAATTATCTCGTTTCATTTCGGTATGCGAAACTTTCCATTGTTTGAAGGCAATTTTAGTAGCAAGATATTTCGGGCAAAATATTTTATTTAGTTAGTGTTGTTTGAAGGTATGAAGTGGTACTGCGATTAGTTGGAGGGAAAATTTATTACTCGAACTATTAGTTGAAGAGAAACTTTGTTACTCGAATTGTTACTTAAAGGTGAAATTTATTACTGGAACTATTACTTGAAGGTAAAGGTTATTACTCGAATAGTTACTTGAAGGTAACATTTCTTGCTTGAACTAAAACTTGAAGGTAAAAATTGTTACCCGAACTAGTATTTGAAGGGAAAAATTATTACTCGAACTACTACTTGAAGGTAAAAATTATTGTTCGAATTATTTCTTGAAGATAAAAATTATTACTCGAACTATTACTTGAAGGTAAAACTTGTTACTCGAATCATTACTTGAAGTTAAAATTTCTTACTCCAACTATTTCGTATCGTTAATCACTATGACTAGAACTATCATCTAAAGCTAAATACAATTAAGGAATATCATAATTTTTCTATATAAATATTTACACCAATTAAAGTATTCGGCAATGAATAAAGCAACGCATCAACCTATCAAAAAACCTTAAAAAACAAGAATACTCTCAGAGTTCAAATCTGCAGAAGGTCTTAATAGCCATTTCAATTACTGCATCAGTGTTTCCAAAAATTGATCGTTAACTTATTTGCAGATATCGTTGGCGAAGAGTCGTGAGGAACCCTGCCTAGAATATGGATGTCCAGGCCGACCGCAGTACGAACCTTTTGTACCTGCACCACCTGGGCACACTCCTAACTGTGCGAAGCCTGGTCAAACCTTCTGCGAAACTCTCGATCATTATCCTGAGTAAGAATTTAAGATCCTTCTCATGTGTATATCTACATACATACATATATGGATATAAGGAATCATATATGGAATCGTTTTATGGACCGTAAAATATGAGTTCGTTGTATAACAACCAGACGGTGAGAGTATCGATCACTGGCGATAGCGCAAAAATGTTAATGGACGATTGCAACGCGGAATTTGGGATTTGGGAATTTGGGACAAGGATCTGTAATTTTGGAGATTTATAATTTCGAAATGGGAGTTTGGGACTTTGCGAATTTGGGAATTTGGGAATGTGAGAATTCGGGGCATGTGGGAAATCGGGGGTTGTGGGAATTCGGGAACGTGGAACTTGGGGAATGTGGGAATTTGGGAATGTGAGAATTCGGGGCATGTGGGACATCGGGGGTTGTGGGAATTCGGGAATGTGAGAATTCGAGAATGTAGGAATTTGGGAATGTGGGAATTCGGGAATGTGGGAATATGGGAACGTGGAACTTGGGGAATGTGAGAATTCGGGGCATGTGGGAAATCGGGGGTTGTGGGAATTCGGGAACGTGGAACTTGGGGAATGTGGGAATTTGGGAATGTGAGAATTCGGGAATGTGGGAATTTGGGAATGTGAGAATTTGGGAATGTGGGAATTTGGGAGTGTGAGAATTTAGGGAATATGGAAGTTGGGGAAAGTGGAAATTCGGGAATGTGGAAATTCAGGGAACGTGGGAATTTGTTAATGTGAGAATTCGAAAGACTGAATTTCGAAAATGTAAAAATTGAACATCACCAATTTCATATTTTTGCTTCCCCGCTTCCATCAACTTATAAAAGCAAACTAAATCCACCTAGACATCTCCGTTATCAAGCCACTATGCCACCATAATTACATTTTTAAGCGTTAAATCAACAAAAGCATCGTACGAGGTCAGAAATAATAACTCCACAAACAATCCCCTGTTAAGTCGATTGAAAAACAAGTATCGTAAGTCGGTGGTTAAAGATATCGTAAGATCTGCACTACGCCGGATGTGCTTCTGCAAGATTCGTGAAAAAGGGCCACTGTAACGGTGTGTTAGCCGCGAACGCACAATACTCGTGGGATACTGCGTGTCAGATCTATGATGTCAGTCCTATTATCGCATTTGCATGATAATAGAAACTCTTAACAGCCACGCGAGAATAAGAAATTGTCGTTTCAAGGTATCGGTCGCGTATCGTGCGTCCTCGGACCTAACTGATCATGCGAAACGGTCGAAAGAAACTGGATCGCTCGCCTACCGGAAACGGAGCTCTAAGCTTCTTGCGTTTGGTAACGAAATGTACTTTACTACTATATATTAGTAATAATTATATATACACAACAGCATTGTCTCATAGTGCAGTGCTGTTTATGCGTAATTTGAACTCGTACAGAAAAGCAGTGTAAAGTTCAGCAGTGTCTAAGAGGTTAATACTATTCTAAACGATACAATAATTCTGTAGTCTTCTGCGTAGTGTAAATCTTTGTTGACAATCGAAATTAACTGCTACATTCTTGTTTAATTTTTCAATTTTTCAATTTGATCAATTTCATCAATTTCCACAGTTTCATCAATTCCATCAATATCATCAGTATCATCAGTAGCATCAGTATCATCAGTTTCATCAGTATCATCAGTATCATCAGTATCATCAATATCAACAATATCATCAGTATCATCGGTATCATCAATATCAACAATATCAACAATAACTATCAGTATCATCAGTATCATCAATATCAACAATATCATCAGTATCATCGGTATCATCAATATCAACAATATCTATCAGTATCATCAGTATCATCAATATCAACAATATCAACAATATCATCAATATCATCAATATCATCAGTAGCATCAGTATCATCAGTGTCATCAGTATCATCAATATCATCAATATCATCAGTATCATCAATATCATAAATATCATCAGTATCATCAGTATCATCAATATCATCAATATCACCAATATCATCAGTATCATCAATTCATCAATCCAAGAATTTCCTCAGTTTCGTTAATTTCATCAATTTATCAATGCACCAATGCATCAATCCATCATTCAACTTTCCTTACCAATTTTTTTTATCGTCTAAACAAAAGTATACTTGTTCTCGCATAAAAGTATCCTTCCTTTATTCTTCAATCAATCATCTCACCGTTCAAATCAAATTCCCTCAAGCACAATATTTAATAAATCACGTAATACACTGAGGTATGTTAAACGCGTCTAACTCGTCAGGTTAATAGTAACGATATGCGTTTATCGTAATCGACTTATTAGATACCGTCGATGACTTTTTTAACGTAACGATTCAATACATCAGAACAGTGTATAAGGTACAACATTATCACGGTCAGTAAAATTGAATAACACTCACGTACTTATTCGCATTCGATAAGTATACGTTGGCTACTCGGCAACCAATTAGTACGTAAATTCGGTGCATGACTGTAATGAAGTATAATAGCAGCCCGCGGTATTTTCAATAGTCGGAAGAGGCGGATGCCCGAAACCGTTCATCAAAAAGAACCCTCGAATTTCCGAAAACGTGTTATTAAAATTTTATTTCACGTGTATTTGTGTATACAACCTCGCGTTATCTCCGGAAACGTTCGATTGTCTTCTGTATTTTTATAGGATGTTTCCTGTGTAAATATATAGGTTAGTGGGGTAGCCTCGGATTTACAGGATACGATCACATAAACGTCGCGTTCGTTATCCTGGGACTTTCCCTTCCCGAAATTCGCCTCGACACGCACGATCGAACGATTCGTATGCAGGAGCAGCGACCACGGTGCCGTCGGGAATATCAATAACAGGACAACGAACCGTATTTTTTATAAATTCCACCCTATACGCGAGACAATTTTTGGAAACCTGAGAGACATCGAAAGAACTAAAAATAAACGCTTTCACGGTTTCCGTGAAATCACTTTTGCAATCTCAAGTGTTGGAAAAATAAAAATCACTCTCTGTTGCATATACTATGTTATAGACATAAATATGTCTACATATTTTGCCACAAATAATAATACCACTCTCTTTGCAATCTCATATTTCATTAAAATTCAGTTGCTTTCATTTTAACACTAAAACTACCTAACCGGCAAATGACGGTTCCACAAGATCCTTATTATAAATGACACAATTTGTTGAATTGCTTTTTCTGATATCTGTATTGATGTTCATCAGGATAACGAATTAATGTGTGTACTAATTTATGTTTTGTCGTTTGTTCATTTATTTTTTGACTCCATTTTTCATCTCAAATTATACGCCGGTAGGTTTAGCGTTAATTCTATGTCTAAGCCTCTTGCTATATCGAACGAACATAGACATACAAGAAACGAACAGCAGTACCTTCCAATTACATTACGAAGATCCATAGAATTCCCGGTTGAATTTTCCACATTGCAGAAGTTTTAACTCGACAGCGATTAACGGTTACGTAAAACCGCACGTACGCCGACGTAAATAAGAGCTTGATACGTTTCTTTTCTTGATCAACGTAGCGTGACCGTGGCCTTGACGCGGTCATGCCCTGTTGATAATTACCGGACCCGTTACGGATCGAGTCGATACTCCTGCGATCGCTCTTCCTCCGATGCGTCCAGAAAACGTAATCAATTTAACGATCGTTTCTAGTCATAGCCATGCATTTCCGCTCGTATCGGAGATCCACCGAACCTCTATTCGAATTTGGGAATGTGGGAATTCGGGAATGTAAGAATTTGGGGGATGTAGGAGGAATTCAGGAATGTAAGAATTCGGGGAATGTAAGAATTCGAGGATTGTGGGAATACGAGAATATGAAACTTGGGGAATGTGAGAATTCGGGGAATGTAGCGAGTTGGGAATGTGGAAGTTGGGCAATGTGAGAATTCGAGGAATGTGAGAATTAGGGGAATGTTGGAATTAGGAAAGGTGGAATTCGAAGAATGTGGGAATTCGGGAAGGTGGAATTTGGGGTATGTGGGAATTTGGAAATGTGAGAATTCGGTGAATGTGGGAATTCGGGGAATGTGGGAATTTGGAAATGTGAGGATTCGGTGAATGTGGGAATTTGGAAATGTGAGAATTCGGCGAATGTGGGAATTCGGGAAGGTGGAATTCGGGGAATGTGGGAATTCGGGAAGGTGGAATTTGGGGAATATGGGAATTTGGAAATGTGAGAATTCGGTGAATGTGAGAATTCGGCGAATGTGGGAATCGGGGAAGGTGGAATTCGGGGAATGTGGGAATTTGGAAATGTGAGAATTCGGTGAATGTGGGAATTTAGAAGTGTGAGAATTCGGTGAATGTGGGAATTTGGAAATGTGAGAATTCGATAAATGTGGGAATTCGGAAATGTGGAACTTGAGAAATGTGAGAATTCGGAAATGTGGAATTTGAGAATTGTAAGAATTCGATAACGTGAAACTTGTGAAGTACCGAACTTGAAAAATTCCATCCCAAGACGCTTCTATCCCAAACCCACATTCCCAGTCGCAAACCCCATCCATCCTCTCCATACCACATAAAAAAAAAAGAGAAAGAGCCGGTAAAAAATCGCCTAAAACGCGAGGTTCATATATAACGACGTCGGAGACATGAGTTAAAGCGACACGATGGGTTTCGGGGTCAATTCGCGTCTTCCGATTTCTGTCCATTGACGAATTACATCAATTCGAAAGTCGGACAGCGTCCACAGGAAGCGAACTGATCGTGATGCAGCCGGTGATCGTGACTACGGTGACCAGTCGTGAGAGAACAGCTTTTAGGCGTGGACCATGAATTAAACATCGAGCCACATCTCTAGGCGGGCTTCTTTCACCGCGGAGAAAGTTTTTGGGATTCCTGTAATGTGTTTGCGTTTTGTTCGAAACTCGTGTCGTTTGCACAAACACTTCGCACCTTTCTTCTAGTTTCTCTGAAATTAGTCGAAACAGGGTCAGTTTACGAATTAGTATCTTGCGTGAAATATTTAGTTAAATACAAAGCTATGTTTAAACAATATTTCAGATGTTCTCCACGAAATAATGAAAGAAAGTTTGGTAAGATTGAAGGAAACGGATTTTCCGGAATATCTCGTTATGTATTGGTTCTACGAGGAAAGTTGTTACCACCAAGTTTGTAGCTTAGGAAATTCTGGATAAAAAAGGTTTTATACATTTTTCCAGTAGGAGTTATCGTTTCTGAAATAATACCATGTGAAGTTGAAGTTGCTGAAGAGATTGATGCAGATATGAGCATATAGAGCTAATCTTGCATGTCGCATTACTAAAAAATGGCTACTCCTACGAAGAAACCTCACATAAACTTTTTTCTAGAGAAATTCCCAAGCTACAAATTTCATAATCACCACTTTTGTCATAAAATTACCAGATAACGAGATATTCGCGAATAACTGCTTCCGTTTTCACACATCTGATACTCCGTAAAATGTCTAGCCAGAGCCTTACTTACCATAATTTACGACGAAAGCCGTTCTCAAACGTTAACAGAATTAATGCCTGATTATGAGATCGGTCGTAGAACTTCGAACTCATGAATAAATCATAAGAAGATAAGTAATTTTTTTATTCCATTAAAGCTGAGCAAAAAAATGTCCACGATACCTGGATTTTTATTGTCACAAATGTCAACTTTGATTTACGACGGGTCAAAGATCCACTCGCTTCAAAGAAATTACTTCGTCCTACATATTTTTTGTATACTTTACTTTCTATTTGCGTTTCGCGTTTGTTGCAGAAAGTTGATCAAGTTTCTCGTGGAAAAGTGCAACTTCGACTTTAGCTCGGTGCTCAGGGACGAATCGAAAGACGATTTCAACATTTACAGGTACATTTGTATTCAGTGATCTATTTATTAAATGATCATAGTTCAGTTCTTTGTAAGAGAACTCTATTCGTGTGTTTGCTATGTTGAAGGTCGGTGCCGGATTACTCCGAGGGTTACGATTACACGCCACACGGAGGACCACAAATACACTCGCAACCATTTCCGTTTCTACCACCGCAGTATCCTATCAGGGGACAACCACCTTTATTTTATGCGCCCTCTAATGATACTCACCAGAATGGGTAATTTTGATACTGTGGACTGAGTGAATTCATATTTTAAATATTTATTTTTAAGTTTTGAGAGTGAGTCTTAACCCTTTGCACTATTTTGATGAGTCTGACTGGTGACGCACTCGGCCGTAATCAATTTTACTCGAATTTTTAATACGCCTCAATTTGGAGTTCAAGTCCAATTATAATTTGCATAGTCAAAGATTGCATTATAACATATTGACCTAACATTTCAAAGTTTTTTGTCTAATTTAATATTGTAGCTATAATTATTCAGTTCTGACTGACACACCTGACAAGTAAGTCATAGTGCAAGGGGTTACATTGGTTTACTTCTATATGTGGAGATTTAACAATTTACTTGTGGAAATCTGGATTTAAAAATTTTCAAAGTTTTGAAATGTTGAATTAGGAAATTTCTAAAGTCCCAAACTGCTAAATTTCCAAGTTGCTAAAGTCTCAAATTGCTGAAGTACCAAATTGCTAGAGTCCACAATTTGCTAGAGTTCCAAATTCCTAGAGTCCCAAATTGCTAGAGTTTCAAATTGCTAGAGTCCCAAATTGCTAGAGTTCCAAATTGTTAAATTTCCAAACTCTCAAATTCCCAAATTCTCAAATTCCCAAATTCACAAATCTCCAAATCTCCAAATCCCCAACTTCCCATCTTCCCAAACTCCCAAATCCCCAACTTCCCAAACTCCCAAATTGCTAGAGTTCCAAATTGCTAAATTTCCAAATTCTCAAATTCCCAAATTCACAAATCTCCAAATCCCCAAATCCCAACTTCCCATCTTCCCAAACTCCCAAATCCCCAACTTCCCAAACTCCCAAATTGCTAGAGTCCCAAATTGCTAGAGTCCCAAATTGTTAGAGTTCCAAATTACTAAATTTCCAAATCTCCAAATCACCAAATCCCCAAATCCCCAAATCTCCAAATCCCAACTTCTCATCTTCCCAACTTCCCAAATCCCCAACTTCCCAAACTCCCAACTTCCCAACTTCCCAAACTCCCAAATCACCAAATCCTCAACTTTCCAAATTTCCCAAAACTGAACCCCCTAAATAAAGACATTCCCCACATGCTACCATTTCGATTCATACCATACGAACAATCAATCAATCAACCACATTTGCAGATACAAATACAACACTCCAGGGCAAAGGAATCCATTTCTAGTGGACGAAGCACCGATGAAATATCATGCAACCGGCCAACGAACGGGCGAACGTCACTTGTATCCTCAGCCGCAATCCTTGAACTCGTTTGGACAGGGTCAAACATGGTGGGCAAACAGGTGATTACTCAGACGTGTCGAATGCTGCTCGCTCTCTGACGATACCGTTTAAGTTACCGAGCTCTATTACCGCTTTTTTGCTTGACTCTTGTCAGGAGGTTCAAGGATGACGAATGCCTTCGTACGGTTTCACTTATTTATTACTTTCGCTTGGGGTATATTAAGCATAGATGTTGGCTAATGAGAGGAATATGGATGTTATGGACTGTTAGGGAATATGCGTGTTATGTCGGTAACTGGGATTGGTGAGTAACTGGGGCAGAAGAGTTTGATAGTAGGTGGTTGAGTTAATAGGTAGTTTAGAATTTTTTTAAGGGGGGTGATCATGTTTTTTGGGGCTTTTGAGAATTTTCGAGAGGTGTGGGGAGGGATTTGGGGATTTGGGAATTTGGTTTTTTAGTGATTTGTGAATTTAGGAATTTGGCAATCCAGCAGTTCAGGGATTTATGTATTTGGCATTTTAGGGATTTGGGGATTTAGAGATTTGGCATTTGAGCGATTTGGGGATTTAGAGATTTGGCTTTTTAGCGATTTGGGGATTTAGGAATTTGGGAATTTAGGCAACTGGGAATATACAGATTTGGGGATTTGGGAATTTGGCAATCCAGCAATTCAGGGATTTAGGTATTTGGCATTTTAGGGATTTGGAGATTTAGAGATTTGGCATTTGAACGATTTGGGGATTTAGAGATTTGACTTTTTAGCAATTTGGGGATTTAGGAATTTGGGAATTTAGGCAACCGGGAATATACAAATTTGGGGATTTGGGAATTTGGCAATTTAGCGATTTGTGGATTTAAGAATTTGGCAATCCAGCAATTCAGGGATGTAGGTATTTGGCATTTTAGAGATTTGAGGATTTAGAGATTTGAGGATTCAGGAATTTGGGAATCTAGGCATTTGGGATTGTAGAGACTTGGTGATGTAGACATTTCAGAATTTAGAAATTTGGGAATTTAGCTATTTAGGGACATAGGGGTTGGGAGACATAGACATTTGGGATTTTAGAGATCTGGGATATAAGAATTTTGGGATTCAACAATTTTGGGGTCTGAAGATTTGGGGATGTAAGGATTTGGGAATATAAAAATTTGGGAACGTAGGAAAGAAATCATTTCCTTTCTCTATCAGTAGTCCTGATATAAGCATAGCAAGAAACACAAAACTTACCTGTTTGCAAGTTTACTGACAACTCATGCTACAATGTGAATGCTCTCTGCGGTTGCGTGGGTTGAAACCCAAATTCCCCAATCCACGAATTCTGAAAATGTAAGTCACGATATTCAGAAAAAAAGTTGCGTATCAAATCACCAGGAAAAGAACGAAATCATTCTCTTTTTCTATCACCAGACCTGGTATAGACATAACAAAAAAACTTACCTGCTTGCTGTCTAACTCATGCCACAACGTAAACGCTCCCTGAGATTGCCTAAACCCAAATTCCCCAAACCACGAATTCCAAATTTCGAAATAGTCGAAAGTATAATCGAAATAGTAAGTCACGAGGAAAATAGTCATCGATGACCCTCGCCATATAGTCACCGCGTTGTTGAAGCATGAATTCGTGAACGCGGTGACTAATTTATGCTTGCCACACCGGGAAACCACGAAGATAAGCATCGAATCGTACGTGTGTTAATTAATTATGCAGTCGGCTCGTGGCGCGTTATTTTTATCCGGTGCAACAGAATCTTTTTTTTGTTTCCTTCGGCTCCGTCCTTTTCTCCGATCGATCACGTTTTTGTTCGTTCAGATACACGCGGAACAGCAAAGCCGCGCCGCGCACGGCCTACGAGAATCCGTTGTTGAAGTACAGCAAACCGAGCAAGGTGCGCAACAAAAGGCAGTCTAATCTCGATTCGATCGCTCTTTGTCCCACGGAGGCGCAATATATCACGCCGAGGGCAGCCCTGAACAACCAAGGGAACTGGATGTACGTGGTGAATGTTCAGGACCAGAATCAGAAGTACTCGCAGATTGTCAAGAGCGAGAAATGCACGTAAGTAGTGCTACGACTTTTATTCGATTACTTTTCGGCATTCAAATTCGAAGAGATTCATTTATCTTTATAGAATTTTCGGGATTTTAAATTTTGACCGAAAAGCAATTTCAGTAGTACGACATTTGCTATTCTAGGGGAATAGGACTGTAGAAATCTAGGAATTTAGGATCTAGGGATTTTATGATATAGCGATTACAGGTTCTAAGAGTTCTGGATCCACAGAGTTCTGGATCCACAGAGTTATGGATTTAGGGATTTCTGGATCTAAGGATTTCTGGATCCAGAGAATTTTGGATCTAGGGATTTCTGGATCTAGGGAGCTTTGGATTTAGGGATTTCTAGAACTAGAAAGTTTTGGATCTAGGGATTTCTGGATCCATAAAGTTTTGGATCTAGGGATATCTGGATCTAGAGAGTTTTGGATCTAGGGATATCTGGATCTAGAGAGTTTTGGATCTAGGGATTTCTGGGACTAGAGAGTTTTGGATCTAGGGAGCTTTGGCTTTAGGGATTTCTGGATCTAGAGAATTTTGGATCTAGGGATTTCTGGGACTAGAGAGTTCTGGATCTAGGGATTTCTGGATCTAGAGAGCTTTGAATTTAGGGATTTCTGGATCTAGGGATTTCTGAGACTAGAGAGTTTTGGATCTAGAAAGCTTTGGATTTAGGGATTTCTGGATTTAGAGAGTTTTGGATCTAGGGATTTCTAGGACTAGGAGTTTCTGGGTCTAGGTATTTCTAGGACTAGGAGTTTCTGGGTCTAGGTATTTCTAGGACTAGAAATTTCTGGGTTTAGGGATTTCCAGATCTTGGGATTTCTGAATTTAGGGAATTTTTGATCTAAGGATTTCCGGGTCTAGGGAATTTTTGATCTCGGAATTTCTGGATCTAAGGAGTTTTGGGTCTAGAGACTTCTAGATCTAGAGAGATTTGGTTCTAGGGATTTCAAGATTTAGGGATTTCTGTGTCTATAGATTTCAGCGTCGAGACATTTCTGGGTTTAGGAATTTTGAGAATCTAAAGATTTCGGGACCTAGGGACTTTTGCATCTAGAGATCATTGCAATATAAAATTTTGGAATCTAGGGATTTCGAAATCTATATATTTGTGAATCTAGGGATGTGAAAGTTGAGAAATGTCTAATGTTCCAGTGAAACTTGAACTTTGAAACGGAAGCGTGTTATGACATTCTATTGCAAATTAATTTAGAGACAGAATTTGACCCAGTTCCTTGAAATATGCTGAGTATTAATTGCTACGGACCTTGAATGTGACACCATTTCTCTGATGAACGTTTTAGAGCTATATTCGACCTTCCATTAAAATTTAGCGCTACCTCGTTAATACTGAAATCTAAGAGCGATAATCAGGAGAACGAATCACCTCTGACTGTAATTATAGACTTATAGTAGCGGACGTTGAAAGGTATTAATCATTTGACTTTTTTTATTTTTTACTGATAGAAATACAGTTATTTATTAATATATGGACACGTAGTGAATAAGTAAATGTCCGACACATTTAATTAATAGTTAATATTGAAAATATTAACTGAAAATTAGCTGAAGAAAGATGCGCCTCATTTTATTAAATTGCCTTTTCAACAACAAGTAATTATTATATTATTTGCCAAAGATTGTGCGTCAGCATTACAAATTTGTTACTTAAGAATATTCCACGTTATGCAGCCTTGCGACGAAAGAGTCGAATTTTTAGCAATTTCTTCATCTTCCAGAACGAACATGTGCAACGCCATTTGCTCTGTTCCTGCGGGTTACACAAGCAGATGCCAACAGCAATATGTGCAGAAGAGGTTAGTAGCGCTAGAAGGAAGCGGAAGCCAGCTGTACACCGACGTATTTTGGTTCCCGCACGGCTGTACGTGTCAGATTATGTTGAATTACTGAAGGACTATGACCAGCCGGATCGTGAAAGGTCGAAGAAAGATTTCTCTCGAGAGCAAACTCGAGTCGAATGTATACCTAAACGCAAATAAGTGGCGTAACGACGATTCTCATCGCAAGTGTTCAACAAATATTCATACTGCAATGTAAAGGAGAAATGTTCAACTTAGAGTTCTAGCTTTTGATTCTTGATAATCAAAGAAAATGTATAAAAGAGTACGCGTTGTAGAGATTTATGTTCAGAATTTGTTAATGTGAAAATCAAGATGGAGGAACAGATTTGAGATAGAAAATGTACTTAATTAATTTTGAAATACTTTTATTTAATTATTTGTTTACTTAACTACAATAATTGTTAGTTACTTGATGTCGGTTTAAATAAGAGTTAATTGTACTGATACGATACGAATATTTATAAACTAGTTTGTAAGTTAGATAACTGTTTATAAATAAATATTTTACAACTTAAGGAGGATTATCACATGTAATTGAATTGTATGGCCTTTTGTTTCGAAGTTTGTACAATCTGTCAAAGTTTGTACATTTATAATATTGTAATTTAACTTGTTCGAAAATATGACAGAAACATATTGATTTTCATAAATAATTTAATGAAATAGAAATATTGTGCGTACTTAAATTTTGTATGAATGACAACTGGCGCCAACTGGCGGCGAACGACAGAATTAATAAGATACAAAGTACTTTCTTTTTATTCAAATAATCAACTGTTATACTTCATTAGGACTAGAACCGCAAACAGTTGTAAAAAGAATTAGAATCCATTAATTTCTTTTGCAAGATATCTAAGATATTTTAGAGTAGATTCTGGACTTGTATTCTAATATATCAATTGCATTTACTGTTTCTGATAGAAATTAAAATTAGTAATAAGAGCAAAAATACTAAAATAGTCGACATGTGCAAAAACACTTATTGTTAGTTTAAGAAACTTAAGCAAGCACTGCTCAGTTTGAGCGTTCACCGTAAGATGGCGACAGCGGTACAGTTTCTATATTGTACAATAATGCGAAATAACGTGTATCATATAAGGTAATATACGCTAATGTAGCAGGCAGATTAATGAATTTTAAAAACAAATAAGGTGAAAGAATAGTATCTTAAAATTAACAGTACCATAAATAACTCAAGTAACAAAACTCTTCCGTGAACATTAAATACATTCAGTACATGATGACTACCTAAAAAATCATGAATTAAAAAATTAAAACAAAATGTGTTCATATTATATATAGACAAGATAAAAATATGTTATATTATTTAACAATAAGTAGAATTACAAATAATTTTACTAAGCCGTGCCTCTTACATTGGATACTCGTAAAATATATTTATACACGTATTTCGTATGCTATTAAAATTTATAAAAATTATATAAGTATAAGATGTCGCAAAAATATTAATTGTATAACATTTGAAACATGTATTACTGTACTTAGTTTCTATTTAGAAACAACGACGTCCACAGGGAGTCTTACAAAACTCAGCTTCGAACTGGTCTGCGAGTCCATGGACCATCGATCGTTACTTGGACTCATGAAAACTCGTCCTGAAGTATAGCTCGCGTTACTGCTTCAAGGTGCTGCTATATCGACGGCCCTCATCCATCTGAAACCTTTACAAAAAATTTCATACAAAATACATTTTCAAGCGTCGTAATCCGAAATATCCTTATGAAAGCACAGCCGCTTCCGTCGATCGAATCGCGACAAATTTTATTTACACACCACGGGAAATGAATGAAATTCAATCCAAGGGCCAATTTACAGCCGGTAGGAGATTCAAGAGTGTCGCGCAAAAGCGGAAGTTATTTACGAGTGATCGTAACTGTTTATCAAGAGTAAAAATAGAGATGGCGATATAAGATCTGAATTATGATACGCTCTTGTCATATTGCCATGATGCTTTTAAGAGTGGAAAATTAGATTTGATTACTAGTATTGGAAGACTTGTTAAAGGGGTTGTTGAAGCTTTCGTTCTTGACGTATTTGGTGGGCGATATAATGCGAGTGTATCATTATACACTCCTGCCATTGCAAGATCATGTGTGGTGATTTGAATGCATGGAGAATATAATATATGGAAGTACAATTTGTCGAGAAACAATGCGTGAAAAATGCAAGACATCGCGAATGCAATGCGTGATATATTTTACACGGGGAAGTACAACGCATGCAGATACGACGCGTGAAAATACGATGCGTGGAAATACGACGCGTAGGAGTAGAACGCGTGGAAATACAATGTGTGGGAAATACCACGCATGGAGAATATAACGCATGTCAAACTCAATATCTGACGAATACAACACGTGACAAATTCGGCACGTGGAAATACAGCGCGTGGAAATACAACGCGTGGAAATACAACGCGTAGAAATTCTACGCATGGCGAATACAACACGTGACAAATTCAGCACGTGGAAATACAACGCGTAGAAGTCGGGCGCGTAGAAATTCTACGCATGGCAAATACAACACGTGACGAATTCGACGCATGGAAATGCAGCGCGTGGAAATACAACGCGTAGAAGTCGGACGCGTAGAAATTCTACGCATGGCGAATACAACACGTGACGAATTCGACGCTTGGAAATACAACGCGTAGAAGTGGGACGCGTAGAAATGCTACGCATGGCGAATACAACGCATGTCAAACTCAATATACGACGAATACCACACGTGACAAATTCCGTGCGTAGTAGTCGACCGCGTGGAAATGTAATGCGTAGAAGTCAACCGCGTGAAAAAACTACGCATGGCGAATATAACACGTGACAAATTCAGTACATGACGAATACAACGTATGGCGAAAACAACCTGTAACAAATACAACGCATGTACGTTCACCAGGTGTACATCGAGCGTAGAAGAATCCCGCCTAAGCAAAGTACCCAGTAAAAATGCAAAATGAGCCACGGGTACGGTTGAAAACGCGGACGCGGGCTCACAGCCATGAAATAAAAGTATCTCGATTCGCATCGACTGGTATAAAAAGGACTAAAAGGAGACGAATGGCGTTTGTTGGGGAGAGGTTATCGGGGGAAAGGGAAGTAAACTGCTAGGAGGTCAGACACGCGCAGGATGCACGGAATTTTCTCGCTGCGAAAGCTACGCACCACCCTTCCTTTTGCGCGCGGCATTTACGATCGTTCAAGTTTTCAACCCTCCGCGATTCCACGCTTCCGCTCCTTCGATTTTAGTCCAGCATCGTCAAATTTATTAATTAATTGGTACAACGCGCTTCTTTCGATCTTAATTTTAGGACGAAGATGAAGAGGGGAGGGTTTGTTTGAGGATACTGGTATATTTGTGTAGATTCAATTTTTCTTCAAATTTTTTCATATTTTCCTCCAAATTTTGTATTCAAAGCCTTTCAAATTTATTAATTTATTGGAACAACGCGCTTCTTTCGATCTTAATTTTAAGGCGAAGATGAAGAGGGGAGGGTTTGTTTGAGCATACTGGTATATTTGTGTAGATTCAAGTTTTCTTCAAATTTTTCTTCAAATTTTTTATTTAAAGCCTCTCAGATTTATTCATTGAAATAACGAAGATCTTTCGGAATAAATTTTTTGGCAAAAAGAAAGATGAAGCGAGAGGAGAGTTTCGGTTTGTTCGAGGGTGCTGATATATTTAGGTAAATTCAATTTTTCTTCAAATTTTTTCATATTTTCCTCTAAATTTTTTATTCAAAGCCTTTCAAATTTATTAATTTATTGGAACAACGTGCTTCTTTCGAACTGAATTTTGCGGTGAAGGAAAAGGAGATGAGGTTCGATAAGGATGCTGGTATATCTGTTTATATTCTGAAGTAGAATTTTCCTGTATTAGAATCTGTTAAATTTTTGTTCTAATTTTTTTAACAAAGAGTATCTTTTTTTGGGTTGCATCAAATTTTATTTGCTTTTTGTTTCTATTTACAAGAGAATGTTTAGGGTGATTTCTTGAAAATTGATTTTGTATATAAATGCAAATATTTCATTTTATAAATGTATACTTAAACAGATATATATGGTTGCTTGTTAAATGAAAATTATTCTTTGAACACTCTGAAATGAACTGTCAAAATTTATTATTATATTGCAAATATTTAGGGGTTGCTTAAAGAATGATCAAAATGAAATTACATTACAAGACAGAATTTTAATAGGATAAAAGAAAATTATCAGTTCTTCAAGACATTATTTCGAGCTGTATCTTAAAAATATTTCAGCAGGATAATTGCAAGTAAAAAACCCCAGAGAAAGCCCATGGTATTTCTTGGAAGGTGGAGTAAAAGGAAGGCTACGCCCATGTCAGGCGCGTATTCTTCCGCGAGAATCTCGGCTTCCGACTGGTGGCGAAGGTAGCAGGAAAAATTGAAAGCTCTCGTTCTCTCTCCTTCCCCGTTTTTCTCTCTTTGTTGGTGTCCTCAGGGTGCGGCGGGTGCGTACGCGTACGCGTGCACGCATATACGGCCGCGTAAGTGCGTGCTATAGATTTCGTTCCACTCTGCGAAACGGTGTACTTGTGCGTGCTGCTCCGTGCACCGTATTCACTCACGACCCCCTCGCATGAGCCACCCCTACGCAATCCTCCTACCCCCTCCCGTCACCTGCGGAGAGAGAGCAGAAAAAAAGGGGTGAATTTCTAGGCACGTAAGCGCTCGTGCAACGCACCGACATCGACTATCTGCGTGCACTTGTGCGCTACGCGCTTCCACCCTCGCCTCCTAACTACAGCTAGCGATGGACTCAAGACGCTACATCGTCTATTCGTTATTTTGACTAATTTTTATTTTAATTATCAACTTACCGGTACAATTTTCTTACTTCTTTTCATTCTTTTTTTTTTTGAACTATTTTTATTAATATGGTAAGGCTATTGTATACATGTAAGACTATATGAAGCATCAAACTGCATTTTTGTAAAGAAAAATCTTGTTCAGAATGATGTACTATAATGCCTAAAAACTATAAAACGTCCGAAAATTTCAAGATATGTATAAAATATAACATTTCGGAAAACCTTGAAATATTTGGAAAATAGAAAATTTCAGAAAATCCTGAGACGTCTGTAAAACATAAAATTTTGATGAACCTCAAGATATGTAGAGAACAATCAATTTCAGAAAACCTTGAGATACTTATAAGACAGAAAAGTTCCAAAAATCTGAAGATATATAAAAACTATAAAGTTTTATGAAACTTCAAGATTTCTATAATATAGAAAATTTCAATATTTCTCTAAAATAGAAAATTTGAGAAAACATTCAGATATTTAGAAAATAGGAAATTCCATGCCTTGATACATCTATAGACCATAATATACCTATAGAACAGTAAATTTCCACAAATCAAACGATAAGAAAAATATGAAATTAAAGCTTGATATTAAAAAAAATTGAAATTCTGCAAAGGTGGAGATTGAATAATCTTAAAAGAAGAAGGACCTTAATACACCTATAGATCTTAATGTACCTATTAAACAGAAAATTTTCACAACTCAAACTATAAGAAAAATATAAAATTAAAGCTTGACATTAAAAAAAATTGAAAATCTGCAAAGGTGGAGAGATTGAATTGCCTTAAAAGAAGAAGGACCTTAATTCACCTATAGACTTTAATATACTTATAAAACAGTAAAGTTCCAAAAATCAAAAATTTCAAAAAATATAAAATTAAAGCTTGATATTAAAAAAACTTGAAAATCTGCAAAGGTGGAGAGATTGATTTGCCTTAAAAGAAGAAGGACCTTAATACACCTATAGACCTTATACCTATTAAACAGAAAATTTCCACAAATCAAACAATAAGAAAAATATAAAATTAAAGCTTGAAATTAAAAAAAATTATAAATCTGCAAAGGTAGAGAGATTGAATAGCCTTAAAAGAAGAAGGACCTTAATACACCTATAGACCTTATACCTATAAAACAGAAAATTTCCACAAATCAAACAATAAGAAAAATATGAAATTAAAGCTTGATATTAAAAAAAAATTGAAAATCTGCAAAGGTGGAGATATTGAATTGCCTTAAAAGAAGAAGAACCTTAATACACCTATAGACCTACCCATAGACCTTATACCTATAAAACAGTAAATTTCCACAAATCAAACAATAAGAGAAATATAAAATTAAAAAAAGTAGTAAATTTGCAAAGGTCGAGCAGAGAGATTTGGCTGAAAAGAAG